TAAAGCCCAATCCTTTTGGAAAATGATTCAAAAAATTATTCAAGACATCGTATCAACCCCGATACCTTTTAAACCAGAACTGTTTCTCCTGAATTTAATCCCAGAGGTTTTTGTGAAAATTGATAAAATAATTATATTACACTGTGTGACCGCTGCTAGAATAGTGTTCGCGGAATATTGGAAATTAGACTCTATACCGGGTAAAGATGAGTTTGTGTATAAACTGTTAAATGTAGTAGAAATGAATAGATTAACAAATATCTTAAAAGGTAAAGAAGAAAAAGAGTTCGAAGATACTTAGTCAAAACATGTATATTATATATTAATATTGTTTAAAAAGAAGAACTGTGGTTGATTCAGTATTCAAATTTATGTCACAAGCGCTGAATGAGTTATTATTGAGAATAAAAATAAAATATAAAAAAAAGTTATTTCCACTTTCCCCACCCTATGACATAAGGCATTAAAAAGGGATTAGATAGACTCATGGAGGAGATGTCCATCGGTGTCAGCCATGATGTCTAAAGGGAACCTCCACAATCAGAGGCAGTTATCCTCTAAATATCAGTACCAGGAGGGAACATCAGGCCTTGGCCTCTATGTCCTGTTGTTGACCCTCACGGGGAACTGTTTGGCCACTGCATGAAACTGGATGCTGGACTAGATGGACCACTAGTCTGATTTCTATAGTGGGTCTTGATAGGCAGCAGGTGTTTGGAGTTATCTTGTGTTTCGTACAAGAGAGCCAGTGTGATATAGTGGGTAAGAGTATCAGACTAGTATCTGGGAGACCCAGGTTCAAATCCCCACTTGTGACATGGAAGCTCACTGGGTGACCTTGGGCCAGTCACACTCTCTCAGCCTAACCTACCTCACAGGGTTGTTGCGAGGGTAAAATGGAGGAGAGGAGAATGCTGTAAGCCACTTTGGGGAGAAAGGTAGGGTACAAAGGAATTGAATAAGGTATTAGCACAAATAAGAATTTGTAAATGTGTGTGAAACATTCCAAACATTTGACTGTGAGAGGTCCTTGTGAACATCCTCTCACGTCTGCTGCCTTGCATCTGCCCCACAGGTTCACTTTATAAATCCAGAGACTGTGCCGAAGCCCTGCTGTGCCCCGACGCAACTCAACGCCATTTCCGTCCTCTACTTTGACGACAGCTCCAACGTCATCTTGAAGAAATACCGGAACATGGTGGTACGGGCCTGTGGCTGCCATTAAACGTACCGGACTGGAGAGCTCTATGAGGCTCACAAGATGTGCAGAGCTGTTGTTATTGTTTTAAGGAAAACATGGATCGTTCAAAGCAACTCTCCTTTAAATCAGGCCACAGTCCTTAAGGAATAGCCTTTCTGAAGCAGTGAAACAGGATGAGCTCCAGACTCAGGTGGCAACTTGAGCAATTTTTTTGGTTTTCAAGTGAGGATCATTCTGTGAAATGATGCAAGAATGCAAATCAGGACTGAGGATCAGTTTGCAGGCAGGTTTGTCATTCTGTAGGCAAACAAAAGCTTTCCCGAAAGGTGGTTCTTCAAGGGGAATGAACCTTTTAACTAAAGCCATCCGTGGTGAGCAACATGTTTGCGTGTGTGTTTTGAGTGTTTGCGAGTGTTTGTGCACACATTTATAAAAGTCACTCTTGGAAAAACAAACAGTTTCAATTGAAACAAACGAATGAATGTGCCTGGATGAACCAGATATTCTGTTGAAATCACTAGGGGTCTCTGAAAACCGTCCCTTTATTTGTGTGGATATCTCCATCTCCCCACGTGCATCATGTGTTTGGGGTGCTTGCCCACCAAAGCAGCTATGCAGTTGTTGCCGAGCAGATCCCAGCCATTGTGCACTGCATACATATCATCTGCAGCTGTGCATCTTCTCCATTCCAAAGTGCAGGCAGATCAGAAGCTGTTGTCCATAACATGGCCATTTGGCTCAATTGTGCCTTTGGTTCCCCATTCAGAAGTACATTTAAGGCAGATCTGAATGTCTCTTGCTTATCTCTACTGCAGCTGACTTAATTACTCAGCAGCTTGCACAGTTAAACCATCAATCTCGCTGTCTTCTTAACAATAAAATGTGTGGCATATCAGCAGTGAAGGTTACAAACCTGCTTCCTGTTGAGGAGTTTTAGGCACGATTGGAAATATTTGGTTGTCGCTTTGAGAACCAATCATCATCATCGTCATCATCACAGAATCTGAGCATCCATAAATGTAACCTTATTTCCTGTAGTGCAGTCCAACTTCACTAGAGCCAGCTTGGTGTAGTGGTTAAGAGTGGCAGACTCTAATGTGGAGAACCGGGTTTGATTCCCTATGCCTCCACATGAAGCCAGCTGGGTGACCTTGGGTCAATCACAGTTCTCTCAGAGCTCTCTTAGACCCACCTACATCACAGGGTGTCTGTTGTGGGGAGAGGAAGGAAAGGCGATTGTAAGCCATTCTGAGACTCCTTCACGTACTGAAGAGCGGGGTATAAAGTTGTCGTCGTCTTCCTCCTCCTCCTCCAAATCTAAGGCTTCAGACCAGGGAATTGCTTTATATGCATGGAGAAGATATGCTTAGAACATGGATTCTGTCTGTATTTCTGAATTGCGTTTCCCCATCCTTTGGTTCCACATTTCTGTTCTAATTTCTTCCCAAGTCTGGCATGGGAGGCAGAGGTAGTGACTTTAAGATGAGAGGCTAAGCAAAAGAATGCAATGGATCAAATCCAGCAACATCCCATAGAGATCCAAACTGGATGCGGAGATCAGTAACAGAGCAACAAGGGTTAGAGTACAGGCAGTATCCTTTTCCGAGGCTCAGGTGATATAATTTCAGTTTTGCTTGTAACTCTGTAAAGAATAGATCATACTTTCCAAATTGTGAAAGGGTTAAATTCTGTAAGACAATTATAGTTAGGCATAGGAAAAGGAACCCAGCGGGGCTTCGGCTGGTCTAAAATGTAGAGACTTCGTGAATAACAGACTGGACAGAAGTCAACGAAATGCTAATGGGAGAAACCCTAAGCAGGTCGACTCAGAGATGTACGTCCCATTTTATTTCCAAGAAAGTGACTCTGGGGTTGCAGCCAATGTGTCCCTTAAGACCAACAGTATTTAAAGTTCCATCAACCGAGATTATTGTTTCCAAAAGTTGCCACTTTAAAGGGCCGCTGTGTTCGGCATGAGTCCACCCACCACTGAACATACGAAGCTTGCCATACAATTGGGTTCAACTCGTCACTGTGCCATTAAGCTTGCACAAAACATGGTGGAACTCACGACCCACAAGTCATCAGGATGCTCACGAGCTTTGATAACTTGTAAAAAAAAGTTTTCCATGTGGATTGGGAGGCTGTTAACCCTTATAGCTAAACCCTATATTCATATAAATAAGCACAAAAGGCAAAGGTAGAAGTCTCCCATTTAAAATTTTTCTCCACATAGCAGACCTTGAATTTCAAACACAAACAAGTATATAGGGGTGTGCAAAAAATAAATAAATAAATAAATTCGGCCCGATTAGGATTCGGCAGAATTAGGCAGAATTAATTTCTGTGGGCAAAAAGACTCCCACATGTCAATTTCGGCAGTACCAGCCCATGGGGGAGTCTTTTGGCCAGCCCAATGTCAATTTAGGCCCCATTATATCCTATGGGCCATTGAAGTCAATGGCAAAAACATAGGGTATATTCTGGGGGCTGGTGGGGAGGGGGTGTGATGGAGAGGCTCCAAACCCACAGGGTAGCTGCTGGAGCCTCTCCCCAAAATACCCACCAAGTTTCAAGAACATTGGACCTGGGGGTCCAATTCTATGGGCCCCCAAATAGGTTGCCCCATCCCCTCCATTTTTCTCTATGGTGGGAAAAAAGTTATGAGCGCCAGTTTGGTGTAGTGGTTAAGTGCGTGGACTCTAATCTGGGAGAGCCGGGTTTGATTCCCCACTCCTCCACTTGCACCTGCTGATGTGACCTTGGGTCAGTCACAAGCTCTGGCACAGCTGTCCTTGAAAAAGAGCAGTCTTTGTCAGAGTTCTCTCAGCCCCACCTACCTCACAGGGTGTCTGTTGTGGGGAGGGGAAGGGAAAGGAGTTTGTAAGCCGCTCTGAGACTCCAAGTGAAGGGCGGGGTATAAATCCAATCTCCTCCTCCTCCTCCTCCTCCTCCTCTTCTTCTATTTTTGCCATTGACTTCAATGGCCCATAGGATATAATGGGGCTGATTCAGATCAGAGAATCTGAATCGGCCCGCAGCAGCCCGAAAGGGGGTCAAATGGGCCATTTTCAGGGGGTGCATTCGGTTCAGACATCCCTACAAGTATAGTTTTATGAATGTAAAAATTAGTATGGTTGATATTTTTTTTACCCCAATACCAGTTGTACTATAACTCTTAGCACAGTTAGCAACAGCTCCTTTGGACCAAAACAGACGGAGCATTAGTAGTTTCCCTTTAAAATAGATAATACACATCGGGAAATGGTATGTGGGAGGAGACATACCCACCCTTCCCCGTGGTCCATTCCCAGTTGGGGTCCCACACAATGCTCTCTCTAAGTTGTGGGGTCTTGTGAGCAAGAATTCCACTTTGTGAGCTACTGGCATTAAAGTTGTGAGTGAGCGATTTGTCTACTGCATAGATTAGTTTGCTCTGGAGCCCTCCTTCCTGAGCTAAGACAAAAATGTGTGAGCTGGAGGCTAAAGAACTGTGAACTACCTCACACTAACTCAGCTTAGAGGGAACACTGGTCCCACATGCTGGTGACATCTGTCGGTCCTAAGGTTCCCTGGAGCGAATGCATCCTGAAACATCTCAGTATGATCCTCAAAAAGAAAATAATGCTTCTAGTCCACAGGCTTGCAAAGAGACCTGCTGAAGCGTCTGAAGGCACATCTCATCCACCCATAAATTGGGATTCAACATTCTCAACTTCTAAACCTACATCAGGACTTTGTAGAGTAGCTCATGTAAGATTATTTGGAGTTGGTAGCATAAAGTTTCAGATTCGGTCCTTGTTGTCTCCAGTTAAGTGGATCCCTGGCCAGAGGGCTGAGATGAGGTTGTTCTCATTCTTTGGAGAGCCCCTTCCCAGCTGGAGGGTCAGTTGGATTGGACAGTATAAGACCATTTCGTATGTTCATGGAAGTATTTGAACTTGTGTCTTCCACATATAACTGTTCTACTTACTGCACTACACTGTCCTTTCTACAGTGCTGGCAGAAATCACACCAATGGCCTGTGTGAAAGGCAAGCACATCCACCACCCATGTCTTCCAAGTTCAAAAATTAGCGTGCAAATGTATTTATGTGTAAATTTACAAAGACGGGTGAAACCTTTTGTCTTAGTCATTGCACATTTCCAACATGACCCTCAGGACTAAATTAGGTACCAATTCCTAATTTTGGTCTAAGAGAAGAGGCAGAACTCCCTGTGGAGCTGGGGTGTTCTTCGTGACACTCCCCACAGCTTATATGGAGCTCCTACCACACAAAACCATGTCCAGCAGCCTCCTGTGTGTCTGGCGTATTGCAAGAGAAACATAGGCTGAAGGAAGCGTTTGGATTGCGTGCAGGTTCCAGTAGCCATTTTCAGGCAAAATCACTTAAGGCAATAAGCACAATATCAGTAACTAGAAAGACCACTACCAAATGTTTGTGATCTGTTGCATGCCCCAGGCCGCCATATGGAACCTGGAATGTTTGAAAATGCAAATAGGGTAGAGAGCCGAGGGAGTGGATTGGCCTGTTGGTTAATGATGTAACAGTAGACCAGAACTCACCTTTGAGGGTAATGATTGTTCCGAGAAGGAAAATTTTGAGGGTTCTGTCTCAGGTGAAAGATCACATAGGGCCCATGCGCTGTTGGTTATCTTCTCTTTCCACCTAGTTTTATGATTGTACCCGATGGTGGTAAAACAGAGAGGAGGAAGTAGACAGATCTACAAATAGGCTCACAAGCATCTAGAACACAAATGCAAAAAAAAAAAATGTTTGCCAGCCTCTTGTATACTTCTGGGATGCACTGAGCCTTCTTTGGGGAGCTTGGATGGTTCTTCGAGAGCTAACATGATGCATTAAATACCACCCTGTGAGTGTGTGTGTACGTATATAATATGGCTGTGGGTAAACTTCTGAAGTGCCTTGCCTTTCAGTCCACATTGGTGGCTCTCCTCCTACGTGGCAGGGCCACCCTTGATAAACTCCTTCCCTGTATACACTCCCAATATTTGTTATCTGTTTTACGGGGATATTCATTTCCTGGGTTTATTTCTATTTTTTTCGTAAAGAAATGGCAGGCTTTCTGCTAAAGTTTAATGTAAGCTCCACTGTTTGTACATGTTTGTGTAAATAGTTTTCACAAAAGCAGAACAAAATTATTTATTTCAATCTTTGAATTTCCTTCCCCCCCTCCCAATCGCATTCAGGAAGAAATGATTCATCTCCCTTTTGAACACATTTGTTTCCTTATTTAATAAAGTATTTATTAACAACTGTTGGCTAAAAATATACATTCTGGGTCTTTTTTCCCCC